AGCATATATTGCTATACAATACAACACAACTTACCTACAGGTATCTGTTTACCAGGTATTTATTACTGTAATACTTAAGATGTGTCAATACAAACAGTACAAGTAGCATCACAAGGTGAGTAGATCAAACCATAACAGCAGAGTATAGAAGGAGAGAGGGGGGTTGTGAAACTTTCAATGATTTGTGAGGTGTTACAGTGAATTCCAACTCCTTTTTCTTTTTTACAGCTTGAAATAAAGCCGGAGAGTCAAACCAAGACAGTGAGTTGGGGAGATGATGTAACATTGTCAATGACCACATCAAAAACTGGATTGAAATGGAAGCATAATGGTTCAGATATGACTATATGGGATGGACAAAATAGTATCACTATTACATCAGCTAAACCATCAGATGCTGGAATTTATGAATGTTATACTACTCAACAACAACGACAAGATGGGTTACATGGTTTTATGAGACTTATTGTTAGACGTAAGTTCATTTTGTTTTACATCACTTGCACATGTCAGTAATTTTTACCCAATTGATCAAATCAAAATCTGCTACGGGAATTGTTGTGTTGACCTCTCTTTTGCAGTTAAGGTAGAATCCTACTCATAAATGCAAATACTTAATATTGACTTTAAAAAATTTGGGAGTCACCAGCCTAGTTTTTGAGAAAATGATGGTTGTATTTTAGTGGGCCATTTCGTCAGTATTATAACGCATTTACCATATAGGTTTTATGGCATATATGTTATGCCACATCGTAAATATTAGTTTGTTGAAAAAATCATTTATTGTTAATGATATGGTACTTTTTGTTGACATGAATTATTTCAAAAATATTTTAAAAAGTGTCAAAAATGCAATTTTTCTTTAACTTTGTGTTATATGGAATTTGCTAATATTAACTATTTATTTAATAACTATTCGCTCTATGTACATTGACTAGTGACTTTAGTGTATATTTGCTTTTATTGGAAATTTAGCAAATTTGGTGTGTTTGTGGCTTTGGGTGATCACATTTTGATCAAAAACAGGAACTTGTGCTTGTGGTTTGACTTGACTGTGTTTTGACTTTGTATTTTGTTCAAATTTGGTACCAAATCAGACATTACGGAACCTTGATATATATGCCAGTTCGTCTCTCAGTCTGTGCATGCGTGCATGCTTGCTTCCAGACCTGTATCTTAGACATGTCTGAACCAATCACAATCAAACTTCACACATACATAGCATTATACATATGCACATCAATTTGTTTCAGGATTCAAGATTGCTGAATTGTGGCCATTTTTGTGCTAAAAAATCATCAAAATCAAGCATTTATGGAATGGATTTTGTTTAAACTTGGTACATACATTGCACATTATGGGAGCTTGATGCACATAATTTTACTTTTCAGATCCAATTTAAAATGGCCGACTGGTGTCCATTATGATTTAACAAATGCTGTTCCAGACCTATACCTCTGACATGTCTTGACCGATCATGATCAAAATTTATATATAAATGATGGCACACATATGCACATTTATTCATTAAACAATTTAATTCAAGGTGAATGGTGTTCATTTTAATGTTAATCAAAAAAGCATGTAACTCTGCGACACGATTGTGCGGCTCGCCGAATGTCGATTATTGCACTCTGTGAAAGGGTCGCAGTGTCACTCTGCCAAGAGCACGATTCCCAATTGTTGGTTGGTCGAAAAGCGTGAATTCCAATGGTCGATAGATGCCCATAATATTACTTACAGTATAAGGATTCACCGCATGCCTTATAGAAAAATTAAGTTTAAGCTGCACTGTTTGGTGATCGGCAAGCACATGGGAGACAAGTTGTAGGTCCAAACAAATGTCACATGGTTTATGGTGATTAAACACATCACACTGCTGGCTAGAAAAGTGAAATAGTGTAAGGTGCACGTTGGTGTTGACTGCCTATTTACGGTGTAACGTTAACGCCATCTTGGAGTTTAAGGCTTTGTCCCAACGAATATGCTCATATGCATTAGCATATATGGCGAGTTGAACGCAAAGTATTTTTCACACATTCTACAACAAATGTTTGACTTTGTTGAGTGCATAAAGGAAAATAAATTGCATGCAGTGAAAAAAATAATTTTAAATCGTCATTGTCTATTGAAATTGTCATTGTCAATAGCCCCATGGCCTTTACGTGATCATAAAAGTCTGGGTGAACTGCGTTCATTCACGATGTGCAACATTTTGCCATGACAGCAGTTGTTAGCAAATTTCTGCCTTCGTTTAGATCATAAACAAACTCGAAACAGGGAAAATAAACACTTGCGGTTTATGATCGATCAGTTGATATTTTAACCATCACAAATGAAATACTTTGTACAAATTGTAAAAAGTAAAGAAAAACGGCGTTGGTTTGTGGAATGAATGTAATTATTTTTGGATCATAATTTTCGAAGTCAGTATAACTGAAATTTGAGATCGGAATTTCAGAAAGATCATGCTCAAATTAGTGTGTTAAACGCTAACACTACTACCGTCTCGTTAATATTTGCATATTGTTTATCTTTGGGACGGTTTAAATGATAACATCTTATATGTATACTTTCATGATTCTGATATAACGGGTGATAAGCTTCCTGTTGCAAACAATTTGTGTTTATCTAACCTCCATTGTCAGCATTATATTGTCAGTCAAGACTTCGTCTGAGAAATCGTCCATATTCTATTTTAATAACACCATCTTGCTAATGCAATGACAATGAAAAGAAAGAAAGCGAAGATGTCAGTGACAGACGAGGTAAAAATAAATCTGTGTCAAAATAAGCGGGGGTCATATTTACTAATTTAAACTTGCCTGCAGTCTGCGTTCACCACTCGTTTATGCAATTTCTATTTATTTAAAAAAAAAATCATTTGAATCGCAACAGACTGCATGCAATTCTAGGTCATATTATGACCAACCTTGCAAGTGGTTCGAAAGGGATGATGATGTTGAACTGTTCGCATCAACGTGAAAGAGTTTCACCTATACTTACCCGATGACGACACCAATACATCAGACGATGAAAGAGAGTACAGGAAATATGTTGCTTGTCGACATCAGCCAAATAAACAAAACAATCGTTTCCGTTTATGCAGAGAGCGTGTAACCATCTAATTTTTCGTTGGCACTGTCGTTTTAGTTTTCTGTTTATAGCAATGGTTTCAATCCATTCAAACAGCTTTTCGTTTTTTTTCTTTTAATAATCTTAATAAAACAAAATTGATTGCCTAGAAACAGTTTGACCCGCTACACGCTTTGTTGGGAGCTCAAAGTGATGAACATAGTCATAACAACTTATACTTGCTAATGACGAAAAACGAATGTAACATCGATAAAGCATAGTTATAAACAGTAAACGTTTTAATTGAATTGTTAATATTTTTGCACTTTATTTGAGACGATAATTAACAATAAACTAAACAAAGTCAAAGCTGACATTTGCTTTGAAGCTGCCATCTATGCTTATGAGCATAGTCGTCGAGACAAAGCCTTACAACTTCAAGATTGCGTTAATGTTACACCGTAAATAGGCAGTCAACACCAACGTGCACGTTACACTATTTATCTTTTCATGTCTAATCACCATAATTATAAACCATGTGACATTTGTTTGGTCCCAAACTTGTGCTTGTTGATTACCAAACAATGCGGCATGTCGCCGGTACATACTTGTTTACCGTAGTTCGCGAGCAGTCGGCGAAATAACCATTTAAAAATTAATATTTCTATTAGGCACGGTTATAAAAGAATAACAATGTAAATTATTATTATTGTGAATCTTTAAAATTGTGTTCAATTAGCATGGGCTAAAACTTTTTGACCTGTGTAGTAAATGAAATATCTTTTCATTGTCCAAGGCCATTTGAATCTTCAGCTTTATGGTGCTTACTGGAGTCAGTTACTACGTTCATATGAAATTTTTGCGGAGGAATTATACAGTTGCATTCACATTAGTTTGGACTCGCACAGCCAGTGTCAAAATCATGCTCTCATTCGTTGATCTGTTATTTGACCAGTTGCAGCACACATTCATATGTGTCTCTGACAATGTTCAGCATTAATTACTACAGCATCTGATCAGATCTAGCTGTAGTATATGCTCTCTTAAATTCACTACCAAGGGTGTGATTTTGGTTCACATCGAGCGTTCAGACAGTAAATTTTGGCATGTGTTGAGTTTTGGTCCTGACTCTCTATTGGGGCCAAGATCAAGTTTTATCAGCTTGTCCGACCATTTACACACGCCAAGAACCAGGACCAAGTCAGCACGTGCAAGGATTTGTAATGTGAATACCACTAGTAAATAGTTTGTTCTGCAAATTTATTGTAAAGTAGGAATGCGATTTTAAGTTTACTTACCACAGTTACATGTCACACGTGATGTTCTAATTATTACAGGTTGTCCTAATGGTAAATATGGTAATACATGTCTACTTAACTGTCCTACATGTTATAATGGAGGTATATGTAATTCAGACAATGGAGAATGTATATGTCCACCAGGATTTAAAGGAGATGACTGTAATACAGGTATTACAAATAATGATTTAAAGCTAGTGAATTATACAATTATATTGGTTGATCTTTTACTTGTATATGCATGCGTACGTGTGTTTCATGGACAAAATAAGTTGTATAAGAATGAAAAAGTAATATTATTAAAATTTGGCTGAAATATTAGCTGTAGAAATAAGTGGACTGAATAAAGACATTTATACTGCTGATAATTATAACTAGATGTTAGTAATATGCTCTCCAAGATATGTCAATGAGGCAGTAGCCTGTTTTCCCGGGCTATTTATTGCCACTCTCAAAGAACACATTTGCCTTTCATGACACATTTTATACATATACATAGGCCATTTTTATCACTCGCATACGGCACATTTTTGCTTCTTGGTACTCGCATATGATACTTTTTGTAGGCATACATACCTCAACAATGACAGAAATAACAAAGTGTACATACAATTTAAAATTTGTATTTTATATTTTATAAATAAAAACCGTAAAATAAAATATGTCGGGTTTGTTACCAATTATTTCAACAGCCATAAACAATATAGACTAAAAATTTCGACTGATAATATTTTGAGCGTCATATTTCGGATTACACTTCCTCCTAATACAGTCTTGTATGTCATCAAACTGTCCTCCAAACGAGGTATTTATGTTTTCTTTTTTTGACGTATTAATTTTCTCGTATGCTAACAAATCTGTCAACAGTTTTTTCGTTCTAAAATCCATGGTGACAATAAGCAGAATAAAATTTTGGATGCTGAAAAAAGCTGTTGTACATGTATATTGTAAAAGGTGTCAGTGGGTTGTCCAATCAGACTGCGAATTGACGGTCTCTAAAGCTGGTCTCAAACGCCATCGCATTGCTGGCCTTTATGGCATCCGAGAGTCTCTAAATCGGTCTCCAATACACGTCTCAAATGGCATCTTCACCTGTTAGAGATTATTATTACATACATATATTCCTGCACTATTATTTGAGATCTTTTATAAAATACATGTTGTATTATTCTATAAGGAACATAGAAATTAATAAAGGACAATAAGAAGTGTTTTAATCATTATGCTATGTTCATTTCACAGGAACTTGCCTCAGGTGATATACATGTACTAACATGTTAGTATAGTCGTACATACTGGTACATGTACAAATATTTTAAACCATATTTCTCGGGTCTCCCCTTTCCCCAGTATGTACCATTAATCCCCACAAATTAGGGTCACAGCGCCAGGCAGTATTTAATGTAAAACTAGTTTCTTCGCTGGTCTGTAAAATGTGAAAATGTTTGTACATTATATCTTGACATTCAAAGAATGGTATGTATATATAAGTGCTAAAATGACATGATCATCATTGCCACGGGAAACCGTAGAACCAATACAATCTTATCTATAAATTGGCATAACCTTGGCCAATGCTTCTCCAGTAACATTACGAGGATATATAGCCCCATCACATAAATTACCAACCCGGTAATATGAAAATATGTATCATCGCTGCAAATACAACATAAATGGAGTAATATTTAATATGGTATTGAAACCTTCATTTTAGTTGGATGTGATGATTCATACTGTAAATAACAATGTGAATCAGTAGGTTTTGTGTAAATAGAAGTAGAAATCCGATCACCATGAACCCTTGTGGAAATATCAAGAAATAGTAGTGTTATTTCTGATATTTCATGTGTGCAGTTTGATGAACTGTTACTGTAATAATTCATCACGTCAGCTTGACGTGGTACCATAGCCATCATCAATGTACCTCACATAAAATTCTGGTTTAGTTCCCTGAAACAACGAAAAAATTAAATCCTCCTAATATGACAGGATTGCACCTGGGTCATTGCCATCTGTTTCAAAGAACACGGTACACTCCGCTATGGGTAAATAAATTACAGGAAATCTGTAATATTTGCATATTTGTGCCGAGTGTACACAACCACTGTACAGAGCGTCAGCGTGCAAAGTCCTTCATTCGGTCGAAGTTGAGACAAAGCATATCATGTACATTGTATGTATCACAAAAACGATGCGAGAATCCGATTCTACACCAAAAAACTTACCCAGAACAACGACAAAACTTGTCAGGCATACTGTTACAAAGCTTTGGTTATACCAAAGATGTATCCAGGTCAGATGTTGGAACTGAGGTCGATGTGTCGGTCACAAAGTACCGCTGAATGTCAAATATCCACAGTTACAAGTAGTATGATGAGTCACAAAACTTGTTTATTTCACAACTGTACATGTACTTTCAATGGGCAAATTACAGTCCAAATTATCAAAAACTGGAATGAAAACGTGGAAACTTTTAATGATCGAAACTGTACATGACCATGTATTTCAAATGGCGTTGATGTAGTCAGTAGAAGATCAGAAAGGTCATCTTTTGTTATGCTAATTTTTGGGTTTACGCTGCTCTGTTCATTGTGAATACATTTCGTTTTCATGCAGAATAAAAATTAGTTTGTTTTCACTCCATATATGCACTCCCTTGTGGCTCGTGCATTTATAATGCTTAAATAATTAACAACAATGAGTAATGTTAAACTGAGACGAGCCTTATGCCAGTTCAGAATCTCTGATCATGAACTCCATATTGAAACTGACAGGCATTGCAAAACTCTGAGGAATGAAAGAGTATGTAAATTCTGTGATAAAAAGCAAATTGAAGATGAGGTGCATTTCCTTATGTACTGCAGTCTGTACAATACATACAGAATTGAATTATTCAAGTACTGCAAAGAAATACAAATTTGTTTTAAAATCAAATGAACTAAACAAATTAAAAGAAATTATGGAAAATTGTACAGGAATCAGATCTGCACAATATATATATAAATTCATGCTATGTAGGTCACATGACCTGGCCCCCATCTTAAGTAGAACACAAACCGGAAGTGCTCAATTGCACCACTTTCTGAGGGTCTAGGAACTTTTTTTGTGTGGCATCATTGGCTCATGTCTAGCAAATATCATCAATACAATCTTTAGCAGTCATGTGACCTTGGCCGCCATATCGGATATATTACTGAAAATGACAAAAAAACTTTAAAAATCTTCTTCTTAAAAATAGCTCATTCATGTGATTAGAAGTTTGCTTTGCAGCACCTGGCCATAGCTCTACAAAGTTACTGAAGCAGATTTTTGAAGCAAATCTTGGATTTAGTAAAAAAGTGAAAGTACGCTATAACTCATGAGCAGTTTGCCAGATTTAAACCAAACTTGGCATACAACATCCGTTCAATACAATGATTATGTGTTCATAAAAATATTTCCATGATTCAAGTGGTTTTGGGCCATCTTGAATTCATCAAAAAAATGCAAAAAACCCCAAAAAAATTTCTTCTTGAAAACTGCCCGCTTGTTTGACTAGCAATTAGGATATGGCACCTATGTTGATAGCTCTACAAAGTTACTGAAACAGATTATTGAAAAATGGTTTCCATTGGCAGCCATCTTGGATTTAGTAAAAGAGAAAAAGTTCTATATAACTTATGAACTATTTGCCAGACTGATACAAAATTCGGTATGTGGAATCCTTGCATTAAGTTTATCATATTCCTGTGAAATCAAACCCATATAATGTATTGTGTAGTTTGTTTGCCATCTTGCATTCTAGACATGAAATGTTCGTCAAATAATCACATCAAGCAAGTGCAATTTGCCATGAGCCACACAGGCTTGAAACCCGTCATTGCTGCTATGCAGCTATATTTTTATTAGCTCCACTGTCGACTTTGTCGAGCGGAGCTTATCATATGAGTGATTGTCCGTCATCGTTGTCCGTTGTCGTCGACGTCCATGTCAATGTTTTACTTTTTTGACTTCTTCTTGAAAACTACAAGTCTGAATGCTTTGATACTTGGTGTATATGTACCTTGGGTAGACCTTTCTCAGATTTGATCATTTTGTGATGATATCTTTAATTCTCTAATTTTGGTGAATATTTTTGTCATTTTTGGTGAAAAGTAATATTTCCGACTTCTTGTAAAAAACGACAAGTCCGATGATTGCTTTGATATAACATATATAGGTACTACATGTGGACCTCTTTTCGATTTGTTCATTTCGTGATGATATCTTTAATTCTCTAATTATGATGAATATTTTTTATAATTTTTGGTAAAAATTGATATTTTCGACTTCTTGTAAAAAACCGCAAGTCTGATTGCTTTGATATTACATATATAGGTACTACATGTGTACATCTCTCAGATTTGTTCATTTTGTGAGGATAACTTTAATTCTCTTATTTTGGTGACTATTTTTGTAATTTTGCTCATTTCATGATAATGTCTTCAATTCTCTAATTTTAATGAATATTTTTGTCATTTTTGGTTAAGTGATATTTTTGAAATTTTGTTGAAAACAGGAAGTCTGATTGCTTTGATACTATACATATTGTTCATTTTCTAATGATATCTTCAGTTCTTTAAATGTAATGTGCATTGCTAACAGCGGAGCTATCTCAGCCGACGGGCTGCTTGTTTTATTTTTATATGACCATAGAACAACTCACTGTTTTAGTGTTGAATAAATATTATTATTATATTGTGAAATTATTTAGTGGTGCGTGTTCTTACGTTCTTATGTTCTACCTACACATTTGAACATTTACTTTTATGCTATCGATAAAGAGCCATTGCTTGAAACATCTAGCTATTTTTAATAGTTGTTTAGAACGATTACCAAATAAAATCTACTATGTTTCAAGATTAAGTTAATTTGTCCCCCTTGAACTCCTCAGTCGACCTAACTGTCATGCTAGATGGTCACTGCATGATTTATCCAGCAGTACAACAAACACGATCTTTGAAAGTCCTGGACCTCAAGGACACATACTACTGAATCCAGCAAGCCAATTTTAACTTCTATTGAGGTTTGAGGTAGAAGGAAACGCACACTAACGTCAAGGGGTATTCAGTTATTATCGGTATACTCTTTCACTATTGCGGGTTAATTGTTGGCACTGTGTCTTCATTGGAATTGTGCTTGGGATGACCTCATTGCCTGCAGCTTTGCTTCTTTGGTCTCAAACCACTTCGTCTAACATAGACAAATATAAAATGGGCACATCACCTTTGGGGAGCTGCTGTGCTTCAGCACAGATCAGTCAATCAAAACTGATGAGTCTACAGATATTATGCATAATCCCCAGAGGATGTCTACCTGGTGGGTTATACCATATGATTATTTTTTAATCACAGGGGTCAACTGGCACGAAGTAGTATGACCCACTAAGTGTGTGAGAACATGCAGGAATCAAAACTATGCAGGAACCATCTCATTGTACAAAAAAGTCTCACCAATGACTGAAAGTATACTTTTAATATTTAAATACAACACATATTTGGGAGGGCAATATCACTATTTGTTGCGTCCCCAAGAGAATTGGGGTTCATGACCTTAATATTGATGGTGCAAAAGTTGAAGGAACAAATCATGATATTTCCTGAATGACAATGTGTTACTAATTTTACCACGTCAAACAGACTTGTTTATTTTTGGAGAATGCAATATTTTATTATACGGTAATGCTCATATCATGCATTTTTGTATGTACATTGTTTGGTGAAAAAAATGCAAAATACCATAGAGGAAATACACAGGAAATGTTGTTTCAGCAGTGGGAAACATGAACAGGTATCAATTATCTAGTATAAAATTGTTGGAATGAATTGCAATGCAAGTTACTTCACCAAGCACCAAATAAAAATGTCACTATAGAAGAATTTATGGATTTGTTTCAGTATAATAGTAGTTTATTGTGTGTGTGTGTGTGTGTGTGTGTGTGTGCGTAGTAACAACGTTGTGACGACTTCCATTTAACTTTACACCAACTTGTGACGATAGGACCTACATTCTGAGGACCCCCCACTATTTTCATAAATTATATTAATATTTAATCAAATTTAAGTCAAGTTTGCGAAGCTTAGGTTTATTTTAGTAAACCTAAGCTTCGCAAACATTTCTATGTTCAGTCACAGGATATTTAGGAACACGTTTTAATCAAGTTCATATCGCAACTATATTAAAAGTTAATTCAACTATCTATATCTACATCTAAGTTAATCCAATGTGTGTTGTTACGACGACGGTAAGACATGTATGTGGTTGTGTCCGTCCATCTGTTTCACTGATATCTCAAGAACTCTACATCGATTTTTAATGAAACTTGGTGCATAGATGCTCTGAACTAATTTGCACATTTGATTAGTTTCGAGTAAAAATCCCTGCATATTAATTACCTAATTTGCAAAATGATTAGTACATTTTCGGCTTTTCTACTGATATTTCAAGTACTTATCATCACATTTCAATAAAAGTTGGTACATAGATATCATAGGACACTGCACAGACCTGATAGTTTTTAGGGTAATATCACTACATATTAGTTACCTAATTTCCATAATTAATTAATTTTCAGCTTTTGATATTTCAAGTAATAATCACATTTCAATGAACCTTGGTGCATCGATACTCTAGGGCAATGCAAAAGATTGATTGTTTTGGGGTAAAAATCCGTGTATATTACCTAATTTACATCTCAAGTACAAGTAATTAGTCCCTGTACAGACGCAGTCCAAAAACAGGGACTTATGGATTGACCTTTGTGTATCCGTGCCTCTTTGCGTCTGTGTGTCCATGTGTGCGTCCGGACCTGTATCTTAGACATGCCTTGACTAATCTTGATTAAACTTCACACATACATTATACATAATTATACATATGCACATCAATTTGTTTCATGATCTGATGCAAGATGGCCGAATTGAGGCCATTTTTGTGCTAAGAAATAATCAAAGCTGGATGGATTTTGTTCGAACTTTGATTTTGTTTGGACTTGATACATTTATGGGGCCTTGATGCACTTCATTTTATTTTTTCAGATCTGATTTAAAATTATTGACTGACGGCCATTTTGTTTTAATGAATGAAGTGCTAGTGCCATATCTCTGCCATGCTTTGACTGATTATGATCAAATTTTATATATTCATTATACATCATGACAGATATTTTTTTTGGTTTGACTATCAGAATGGCCAAATGGCAGCCATTTTTGTGCTAAAAAATCATCAAAAATCAAGCACTTCTGCCACTCTAGAGCTGGATCTTGGTGTTTATAGATGGATTTTATTTAATTTTTCAGATCGTATTCAAAATGGCTAACTGGTGGCCATTTTGTTTAAATTAATGCTGTTCCAGAACAATATTTCTCAATATGGACAAGTACTCATTTGATGATCACAGATACAAGATGTCAATCGTTTTAATATTAAAAAAATCATCATAATCAAGCATCTTCTGGATCCATTCTTCTGACATGTTTATGTTTCAACTATATTACTATAAACAAAACTATATACATGTATCTTAAATTTGATAACTAACGGGGACTGTGCCATGCATGGCTTGTTTTGAATTAATTTTGAATGTGTCTCCAATACTCTCAGCACACATGAGGTCTTTCTAAGCTTTCTTTGATTTTTTATTTGTATTGAATATACCAGGGTAATTGTATGTACTCCTTATTATATGGTCTGCTGTTTCAAATTAATATGTTCAGTGACAGATCATGTTGCGCATTTCAAATTTGACTGCATGGTTTCTCATGCTCTAATCAAATCATTTTTCATTGCTATGTAGTTTTATTGTTTAATTGCATTTTTAAATTAATTCAATTTACTAAGGAATTTCTTTATCAGGGTACATCACCTTTCAGTGTGAATGAGGAGCCCATTTACCCAACCTCTGTATTGTAGTTATCTTCATGTATAGTTTTTTTATCTGTAGTGTAGTTTATCTTAGATTTTGTATTAAATATATTTGCAGTAACCTTGTTGTGTGGTGCACTGTTACAAACTATAATAGGATTTGTATGACTATAATGTACAAATTTTTCATCCTATGTAACTAAGCTATAAATGTGAATAAAACATTTTCCGAAATCATTTTCCATAACATTTTGGGCTCTTGTTTTTAATTTTTGATATCACGATGACATGAAGATGCTCACGTAATCATGTTTGTTTGCAAATTTTGATAATAAATACTTTTTACCAGACTAATCAGTTTTCATGATGTTGGGGTAAAACCTTATCTTCAAAATTTCAGTGTATTGCGTAAAATTGTCACTAAAAATATAATTCATTATATTATTTATCTACAAATGTTTCTATGTTTTAGGTTGTACACGAGGATATTGGGGAAAGTCATGTGGAATCAAATGTTCAAGTACAAATACAGGTATAGCTTGTAAAGGAAGGATGTTCTGTGTTTCTGATCCATATGGATGTTCATGTCTTGCATCACATGGAGGATTAGATTGTAACATACGTGGTGAGTTGAAAAAAATACTTTTTCAGAAAGGATTCAATAAAATTTATTGTTTGTAGATATACTTTTGAATTTATATAGATCTGAATTCTATTTATGAAATTTAAAACATTAAGCACTCTCCCATAGAATAGTCTGCCAAAATGTTTTTAAATTGATATACTGTTCATTGAAAGTGATGGTTAATGTGTGTAATTGTTCTCAAACCTAAAGAAAAATGTCACATAATTTAACTTTTCCTCCGTAATATTATTTGTTATATATTAAGTAGCATGTCATATTGTGTTGAATTGAGTACCTCTGGGACAACCTTATAAGTCACTTGGCAGTAAATGTTAATTAATCAGCGATTATGCCAATGACGGAGAGATAGAATCTAGGTCAGGGGAAGCCCCATGACCCCAAGATTCTTTTCCCTTACATCACGAACCACGTGACCAAGGCCATATGGCGGCACCATTACAGCTGGCTAATCACTCTGATTTTTTCTCCGCCTCAAGTGGAGATGAAGTCTAGCGAGCTCTGTCTGGATTGCTTGCTTTTTCCTGTCCGGGTTTCTAGCTTGGGTTGTTGCTGCTGGGCGGCATCCGACATTGTATCTAGTAGGATAAGTTTTTCATGTCATTTTTACCCTCGTATCGTTTTTGCCCTTGTGTGTAGCATTTTTTACAACAAAGAGATAAAACCCGGGCATCGTAGCTTAATCTCTAGTTGATTTTGTTACATCACCTTTTCCTACTGTAATTCGCTTCCCTCATGCATGTCTTCTTCATTTTATGCTTGATCTACAAATTTAGAAATGAATAGATGTAATGACAACACCAGGGCTTGTTGCCGTTTTTTTAGTCTCCTCGTTTTCGAGTCGACTGTGCAGTGGTTATATTCAGAATTTACCACCATAGAACCTGCATCTGAAATGCTTTTTGCGTAGCTGCGTGCGGGAGTTTTGCCTTGAAGGCGTGTGCTTTTTCACAGGAGTTCTGAGGCCTGAGATATTTTTTCAGAGCCATCAAAATCGCTGAGACTGGCCACGTCGCTCGTATTTTTCACAGCAAGGTCGTGCGTCCAGTAAGAAAATCAGTTAAAGTGAGTTGCAGGTTTGGCATGAGTGGAATGTCCTTAGCTCGGCTACCAGTACTTCGTGTACTGAGACGTCGAGTAGGAGGCCTGATGGTGGAGGTACTGATATTTTTCTCAGTCTCCCCCGCTGATCGGAGGGCATCCTCACAGGCTGTGTTTTCAGGCGGTGGTTTACCCGATTTTACCGGCTACAGCGAGGCTGTGCCCCTGGAGGTCTTCCCTCTATGGGGCTCATTGCGGGTCCATTTGTGGATTCTTCCCCGCACGGCGCCGGGTTCGCCTCCGAGATGAGGACTTTGGTCGAAGGACTGCTGGGGCAAGTTGTGTCCCTGGCAGGCCAGGTAGATCAGAGACAGTAGGAGCGAGCTGTCCCCTCTGCAAGCCAGGGTTCGACGCACGGTACAACGATAACGAATTTACCCTTGTGTCCGGTCTATGCTGTGGCTTTTGACTACCTTCTTACCGACCCACGGGCGTCCGCAGAGGGAACCGACCCTGTCATGAGACGCACAGTCGAACACACTCTCTCTCACATATTTAAAGTGGAAAGGAGACAGTTCACTCACGATGGATACAGCTGGTACCTCCGGCAGTCCCTCAGAGTCTTCCATTTGTAACGACCCGGTGAGCCACGCCTTTGGGGTGATTCAGATCCTAAGGCGACCACTTATGGTTGCTTCAATGCTTATGGTTTCACAGGCATCGGGATCCAAAGCAACCCCGTCGGCATGGGTCTCCCTGTCTGTCCGAGTGCAGAGTGGGGCGTAGGGTGCGCAAATGGTGTTGATGGATGGATGTTGGTCAGCCGTGGAGGAGGTAATGCTCAAAGCCCCAGGGTGGGGTAAAATCTTATGCAACACTTTCCGCTGGACCAAATGCTACCCGGTCGGTATGGTTTCGGGATCAGACCCCAAAGTGTGGGATGAGACCAAAATACCCCCAACCGGAGGCTCCTTCCCCAGACCCCGGTACCATGAATTTCCGTTGGACAAACCGGGTAAAGGGGAAAAGTTGCATTCCATAGGTGTTCTCGCCAGCTAAATCTGAGACGATCCATCACGCCCTGAGGGCAGAATTGCTTGAGCACATTTTTAT